GACCATCTTGTTCCAAGCTGAGCAATCTTCCCCCAGAACAGGTTGCTCAGAGCCCTGCTCCCAGCTGGCCTTGGATGTTGCCAAGGATGGAGCATCCCCAGCCTCTGTGCCCAGCCTGGGCCAGTGGCCCAGCAGCCTGAGTGGAAAAGAGCAGCTGCATTAGATCCAACTTCAATCTCACTCCTGCAGTTGAAAGCCTTCTCCTCTCTGTGCCCATCTTTCCTAGAGCTGCAGGGAGGCCTCCCCAGCCCCTTCTCTTTCCAGGCTGAGCATCCCCAGCCCCACATGGACAGCACTCAGATCCGTGGGGGTCGAGGCTAAAGGGTGGCAAACGGCATCAGGAAGTGAGAGATGGAAGCTTTTGGAGATGGAAGGTTTGCCTCTAAATGTAGAAAAGAAATGAAAGTGGAGGGGAAAATGGTGGGACTCTGGCTCTGTTCTAACTGGGGAAGATTTTCTTTTCCTCTTTTCTGTCGTGCTGCCCCAAGTTTTGTTGTTTGAAAGGAGGTTTGGCAAAATATCCATTGTCTTCTCCATTAATAAAAAAATCCCACAAAATTCCAGTAAAATCTGACAAAATTCCTACAAAAATCCCACACATTGCAGAAAAAATACACAAAACTGCAGAAAAAATCCACAAAATTCCAGAAGAATTCCACAAAAAGTACTGGAAAATCCCACAATTCTTTAATTTTTATTTAAATCCCTCAACATTCTAGAAAAAATGCACAAAATTCCACAAAAAACCCAAGAAAATTCCGTTAATCTCCTCAAATTCCCACAAAATCAAACCAAAATCCCTCAAAATTCTTGAAATCTCCTCAAAATACCACAGAATTCCAGAAAAACTCCACAAAATTCCCTAAATCTATTCAAAATCCCAGCAAATTCCAGAACTGTACCACAAAATCTCCTCCAGTTTCCACAGACGGCCAGAAATAACCCTCAATATTCCAGAAAAAAACCACAAAATTCCAGAAAAATCCTTCAAAGTTCCACAAAAATCCCACAAAAATCCCACTAAATCCCCCAAATCTTTACAAAATCCCACCAAATTCCAGAAAAAATTCCATGAAATTCCCTAAATCTCCTCAAAGTCCTTACAAAATTTCAGAAAAATCTCACGGTTTCCCAAATCACCTCAAAATTTCTCGATATTCCCTAAATTTTCTCAAAATTGCATAAAATTCAAAAAAACCCTACAAAATTCCACAAGAATTCCACAAAAATATTGAAATTTTCTCAAAATTCCACAAAATTCCAGAAAAATTCTGCAAAAATCCCACAAAAGTCCACAAAAATCCAGGAAAATCTCACAGAATTCCTTAAGTCTCTTCAAAATCCCACAAAATTCCACAAAAAATGTTCAAAATTTTACAAAAAAATCCACAAAACTCCAGTAAAATCTCATAAATTACACAAAAATCTCACAGAATTCAAGAAAAATTGCACAAAATTTGCAGTAAAATCTGATAAAATGATACAAAAATCCCAAGAATTCCACAAAATCCCATGTAACTCTACAAAAATCCCACAGAATTCTTCAAATTTTCATAAAATCTACAAAAATCCAGAAAAAATCCCACAAAATTCCCTAAATCTACTCAAAATTTACCAAATTCCACAACTATACCACAAAATCTCCTCCAGTTTCCATAGATGGCCAGAAATAACCCTCAATATTCCAGAAAAAAACCACAAAATTCCAGAAAAATCCTTCAAAGTTCCACAAAAATCCCACAAAAATCCCACTAAGTTCCCCAAATCTTTACAAAAATCCCACAAAATTCCAGAAAAAATTCCATGAAATTCCCTAAATCTCCTCTAAGTCCTTACAAAATTTCAGAAAAATCTCACGGTTTCCCAAATCGCCTCAAATTTCCTCGAAATTCCCTAAATTTTTCTCAAAATTGCTTAAAATTAAAAAAAACCCCTACAAAATTCCACAAGAATTCCACAAAAATATTGAAATTTTCTCAAAATTCCTCGAAATTCCAGAAAAATTCCACAAAAATCCCACAAAAGTTCACAAAAATCCAGGAAAATCTCACAGAATTCCTTAAGTCTCTTCAAAATCCCACAAAATTCCACAAAAAATGTTCAAAATTTTACAAAAAAATCCACAAAACTCCAGTAAAATCTCATAAATTACACAAAAATCTCACAGAATTCAAGAAAAATTGCACAAAATTTGCAGTAAAATCTGATAAAATGACTCAAAAATCCCAAGAATTCCACAAAATCCCAC